CTGCTCTTACTACATTTAAAAGGCAGAGCTGCATCAGGGAATCTGGTGCGTACCAGGACTCTGACCACTGTTCCTCTGCCTCCCATGCCTCCCCTTCCCCCCGCCACAGAGACGGTGCCTAGGCTTATCGGAGTAGTTGACTACTTGTCTACACTACGGATGTAAGCACTTGGCTCCAAGACCTCCATGACTCACTGGATTTCAGAGCCCTGGCTCCAGCCCAAACGTCTATACTGCTCTTTTTACCCCCACTTCGATAGCTGTGCCAGCCTGCCTCTGCAGATCCTGAGACTCGCTGGTGGGAGGGTTGCGTTGTGTGGTGGAGACGCATCCTCCAGTCACCCAGGGTATGTCTGCGCAGCCATAACCACCACTGGGCAGGTTTGAACCTGGGACCTCTGAAGCGGAGTATAGGAGCCTCTGCCCCCTGAGCTAAAAGCCAGCTGGCTCCCAGCCCGTGCTGTAGAGCAGGGGTTCCCAAACCTTGTGACACGGGGACCAGTAAATCTATTCACAAGCTTTCGGAGGACTGGTAACATTAATTTGCATATTTGCATATTCATTAAGCAAATGGAAAATATGCAAATATGTTGGTTTTGGTCCTCCCAAAGCCCCCAGGCCCAGCATTAGCAAAGCTTTTGATATGGCCACCCACAACATTCTTACAAAAAAGTTAAGGGAATATGGATTGGAAAAATGGACTGTAATCCAATAAAATCCTGCACCACCACATCGTGTATTGAAAAGGGGCTCATTTATTTTCAGAACGCTGACACCATCTTTGGAAGTTTTTTATCCATATTCTCATTCCAGATGGTGAATGCACCAACCAGGTTCTCTCCATTCTGACACATTGTAGTGCCTTTAAACCTCACTTTCAGCAGTGGGGTATTTAAAAGGCACTGCTTTTACATTTCTATTCAGGATCTGTGTGCGCCCTGAACTGTCCCGCTCCCAGCTGGCCGATTCTCTTCCCCCTCTCTGCTGTAGAAGTCTCTTGGTCTTAACTGTTGCTGTGGTCTAGGTACCACTTGCATTGCTCAGTAACCACACTAGGTGTGTGGGTTACACAGCAAGACAGAGCCACCGAGTTTGGGTCTGCAGTTTTGGGCTTGTGCTACAGTAGCCGTGGAAACATTTGGGCCTGGGAAGAGGGGTGGATTCAAAGCTCTGAGCTTCAGCCTGAACATTAACAGAAATTTTTAGAGCCATAGCACAGGCCCAAATCTTCAAATCCAGGCTCTGAGACTCACTGCCACAGCTCCTGCTTTCTGCCTAATTGGCTTCAAGCCCGAAGCAGGAGGTTTCATATCCCTTCCAAAATTTTGGTTGTCGTTCATTGTAACTCTGGATAGTCACGCTGTCCACAGTAACATCCAATCCCGTTTTTGAATCTCTTTTAGTCCTAGGCTGCAACAAGTCCCTCAGTTTAAGCACATGCTGTGAGACAGGATATTTCCTTTGGGTCCTTTTGTATGAGTGCTTCAGATTTTCCTTTCTCGTTAGCATTTATCAGCATTCAATTTCATCTGTCTGGCTGTTGCCCATTCTCACAGCTTGGAAAGGTCTCTCTGAAGTTCCTCCTGCACAGCTATGATCCTGACAAACCTAAATAACTTTGTGTCCTCTGCAAATTTTGCTACTCACTGCTCAGCCCAATTTCCAGATCCTTAATAAACACATTTAAGCAGCTCAGGACCTCGTATGGAAGCTTCAGGCCTGCTATTTTGTAATGATGGGAACTGACCATTTAATCCTACGCGTGTCTCTGTCTGCTAGCCAGTTTTTGATCCAAGACGGTGTTTTGTCTCCTATCCATAACTGCGTAGCTAGCCTCTTGTGCAAGATTTTATCAAGGGCATTTTGGAAATGAGTCGGTTGCCATCCAGTTCTCCTTTATCCGTTGTATAACTGGCACGTTGAAAGAATTCAGAGAGATTAGCGTGAGACACTACTCTCCATTGCTGAAACCACTCTGGTCAGATCCTCCTGTCTTCCAAGTGTTTCCTTACTTTGGTTTTAATGATCATTTCATCCAGTTTGCCAGGTACAGATACAAGGCTGTCTGGTATGCAGTTCTTTAGATCACACCTAGAACCCATTTCAAATCTAAATACATTTGCCACCCTCCACTTTTCTGGACAGGGAACTGTTCTATGTTCAGAATTGTGCTTCTCACCAAGGGAATGGAAATCATTTTTTTGTGCACTTGAGAGATATAGTTATACCCATGTAAGTATGTAGTGTACATCTGACCATAGTAAGAGACAGGCCCTGCCTTGGAGAGCTTAGAATCCAAGGGTAGGTTTCACCAAGATATGTAGGCACTAAACACCCATTAATTTGAAATTAGTGCATATTAGGTGCCTAAATATCAGGATGAAATTCCATCCAAATAGACAAGGCAGACAAAGGAAGGAGGGACGTGGGGATAAAAGCGACTTGCCCAAGGTTATGTAGTAGGTCAGTGGCAGAGCTGGGAATAGATCACAGTTCTTCTGAGTAAGAGCAGCTCTTACTGCATTTAAAATGCAGAGCTGCAGCATGGGTGGCTCCTGGAGCCGGTATGAGCCAGGACTGAACACTCGCAGTTTCCACTGTCTCTGGGACCGCTGCAGTTCTGCCTCCCCCTCCCCCACCCACCTCTGTGCACCTTGGAAAAGCCAGCTCCTCCCCCTGCCGCCCCTTGTTGTCTCTGATACAGAGGCAGCAAGGGGGGGAAGTGAGTAGTCGACTATTTGAGTAGTCGCTTACATTCCTAGTTCATGCCAGTAGCAGCAGTGGTCTTCTCCAGTGGGGACAAGGCTTCTGGCTCCACACCAATCATCAAAGCTGGCTCTGAGCAGAGGAGAGGCCGTGCTGGAATGTCCCAGACTCCCGGTAGAGACACTGATACCTATTAAGATACTGGCAGCCAACTTCCATGCTCACTCTTGCTACTTCAAGGCATGATCTCAGCGCTCTCATGGCGTCTCAGGTTGCATTGCAGTAAAAACCAGAATTGCCCATCGACAAAGCCTTTTGCTTCTCCTGGCTCCCAGGAGAGTCCGTGTCACTTGAGATGATTCAGGACCCTTGAGAGTGACTGGGATGAAACAGAAGAAAATGAATGTTTCGGTAAATGAGCCGTAACGGCGGCAGAACCTGTGTAGTGTCATCCAGTGTAATCAGGATGGATGTTATTTTGGGTTCATTCAGGCACTGAGTAATGAGCGTTTTTGCTGCTAATCAGACTGATCTATAAGGCAAATTAAAATCTTTGGTTTGCTCTCAGCAGAAATCTCCTAAATTGTTTTCACCTCTCCTGTGTGAGACAGGGCAGGTTTGCTTAGCAGTCATCCTAAATAATGATCCCTGCTAGGACGGGGTCTAGTTAGCAAGCCAACTTTTTTCCTCCATACTAATCCTAACCATTCAACTAAATTGCTTCCAAATAGCTGTCCAGATGTGTGTCTCCCCTAATCCCCTGAACAAGGAGATACTTATCACCAATCCTTATGCAGGTTCTTGTTCTAACTTTATAGTCATTGATCGTCTTTGGACAATGATGTCTATTTACCAGAGTAACACCTTGGTTCACTTGCTGCCCATCTCCTGCGTATTCTACCTTGTGGCTCAAGAGGTATAGAAGGCCTCGTGTAAGGACACTCTTACCCTATGGGAGGCAGGAATGGATGCAGGAGCCTAGAACGCCAATCAAAGGAGCAGGTACTCTGTACCTAGGAGCAACCAGACAGGTGGAGAACTATCAGGAACAGATTTGGGTGCTGCTATATTTCTCGGGTGTACGTGGGACATGATTTCCTCGCCCCTTCTGGGTTAGTAAAGCCATGTCTGTGCCCAGGAAGCCAGCTGCTTTTTGAGAGCGCATAATTAATCTAGAAAGAGATGGCCCTGTGCCAGGAGGCCTTTTTTAATTAAAAGAGGCCAGGGCATCTGAGAATCTCTATTAAAACTTGGCGCCGCTGCTGAAGTCCCGGAGAGCGTGTGTCTAAATTTGGATGCGGGGGTGGAGATTGAGTATCGTCTCAGGACAGAATGTGATTTTGCTCGCTAACCTCTCGTCCGGGGGAGAAGATGTGGGCTGTGTCACAGACCTGTGGGGCCGCGTGCACCTCCCCCTTGCGATCATGTGACCTCTCTCCTGTGCTGCTGCTGACCTTGAAGGGATGTAGAGGTGGAGCTGGCGGCTAGAACAGCTCAGGCATAGCTTGTTACTCGGTTGTACTAAGATGGCCAGGGGAGTCGGGGCTTTGAAGAGTGCCAATGGAATGCCCCTGCCCTGCCTGGCCCTACGATCCGGGCCAGAGGTCCTGCATGCCTGGCGGAAGGAGGAAGAGCTGAGCAAAGTTGGGGAACTGGCCTTTTGTGCTGGGTACAAACATTGTACCTTGGGGTACCTGGTGCTGGCCACTGTCGGCAGACAGGCTACTGGGCTAGATGGACCTTTGATCTGATCCAGTACAGCCGTTCTTATGTTCTTATTCCTTATCTCCTGGCTTAGAGGCCTATGTTTGCTCACTGGTTGTGGGAGGTTGGGCAGGTGTGTCTGCTTCTCTCCCACTAGGGCAGAAATGGAAAGTGTGGGGTCACTGTCCTTCCTCAACGCAACCCCTCTACTCATCAAAGACATGGTCAGATCTGCTACTCACCTCCTTCTTTATTGGAACCAGTCATGGCGCTGCTTTTCCTGTGGTTTGCTTGAAGGGCTGCCCCCTTCCTACGTGGACTTTTTCCCTGGGACACTGGAGCCTGCAGGCATAGTGCTCGTTGGGTTTTTGTACTGTGCCTGTCACCTTGGTATCTGGGCACCTGAGGTGGGCCAGTGGGACCCACCTGTCGTGCTCTTAGATGACCATTAACCTAGTTGTTTAACATCTGTCTCCTGTCATTCAGCTGGGTCCTTTTCCAGCATGTATCTGAATGTTTTAGCTGGGAGCTACATTTCGGGAAGGGCAAGCCTGGTCACTCACCCCACCCCATCTTGCTTTGTCTTCTAGTGGTTGGGGTGAAGGATGTTCTCCTCGGTGAAGCTCTACGAGAATCAGCACTTCTCGGCCCTGAAGAAAGACTGCCAGTCTCCCCCGCCACCGACGACTCCCTCTTCTACAAGTCACGGATTCAAGGCATCCAGTGGAAACGCCCGAATGTAAGTGGGGCTTGGCTGTCCTCCCTGTGCACCTTGTGCTGCTCTCCTGGAGCCAGGCTTTATAAAGCAAGTCACTCTGCTCCCCCCACACCACATGCTAGCTACTGTCGGTGCTTAGACCCCCTTACCATAGTATGCGAGCTCCTCACCCTCTCTAATGGAGTGATCCTCCAACCAGTTCTGGGAAACAGGGCAGTGCTGTTATCTCCACGGCGTAGACGGGGAACTGAGGCACAGAGAGACTTGCCCAAGGTCGCAGAAAAAGTCTGTAGCAGAGCAGCAAACTGAACATGGGTCTGCTGACTCTCAGGCCCGCTAACCACTGGATTATCCTTCCTTTGGCCCTCTGCAGGAGCTCCTGTTCCTTGCACATTACTTGTGCGCACGCTAAGCCAGGGGGCGATTTGAAAGGCAGCGAGACGGTGTTGAGTGGTTGGAACAGGGGCTGGAAATCAGGACTCCTGAGATTTGCAGGCCAAGTCCTGCTCCTATCAGGACTGGGCCTGCTCCCACTGAAGTCAGTGCCAGTTTTGGCATCGTCGTCACTGGAAATCCCTTTTGAAGCCAATTGGAGTTGCAGATGCTCAGGGTGCTTGTTCTTCTTCTGTCACTAACTCAGCCCATGGCCTTGTCCCTCAACAGTGACTTGTAACTGTAACTCATCTGTGTTTAAAAAGGGGCTATAATAATAGATCCAAGCCAGAGGTAGGGAACCTAAGGCGTGGTGGCTGGATGTGGCTGCCGGCTTGCCTGGATCCGGCCCCGTGGCTCAGGGCTCCCCCCAGCATTGGGACTCCACACTGGCGCTCCAGTCATCCCCCCTCCCTGCTGTCTCCCCATGGAGCTGGAGCACACAACTCTAGTAGCCTCGGACCCCTCAGCGTTGGTGTGTGAGAATCATAGAATCCAAGAGCTGGAAGAGATCTCGGGAGGTCATCAAATACCACCCCCTGTCCAAGGCAGGACCAATCCCAACTAATCATCCCAGCCAGGGCTTTGTCAAGATGGGACTTAAAAACCTCTAGGGATGGAGATTCCACCACCTCCCTAGGGAACCCATTCCAGTGCTTCACCACCCGCCTAGTGAAATAGTTTTTCCTACCATCCAACATAGACCTCCCCCACTGTAACCTGAGACCATTGCTCCTTGTTCTGCCATCCTTCACTACTGAGAACAGCTTCTATCCATCCTCTTAGGAACCCCCCTTCAGGTAGTTGAAGGCTGCTATCAAATCCCCCCTCACCCTTCTCTTCTGCAGACTAAATAAGGCCAAATCCCTCAGCCTCTCCTAATATGTCATGTGCTCCAGCCCCCTAATCATTTGGTTGTCCTCCGCTGGACCCTCTCCAGTGCGTTCACATTTTTCCTATAGTCGGGAGAGAGGGGATCCAGAACTGGACTTAATACTCCAGATGTGGCCTCACCAGTGCTGAATAAAGGGGAATAATAACTTCTCTAGATTTTCTGGCAATGTTCCTCCTAATGCACCCTAATATGCCATTAGCCTTCTTGGCTACAAGGGCACACTGTTGACTCATCTCCAGCTTTTCATCCACTGTAACCCCCACATCCTTTTCTGCTGAACTGCTACTTAGCCAGTCGGTCCCCAGCCTGTAACAGTGCTTGGGATTCTTCCGTCCCAAGTGCAGGACTCTTGGGAGAATGTTGGGAGTGTCTTTCTCCTCAGTAGGGGGCCACATCTGTGAGAGTTTGTTGGTTTTTTGCTTCTTACTTGTGTGCTGCCCCTGACAGATTTTTCTGTGGGTCAGCGGCCTCTGACCCAAAAAGGGTTCTCCACCCCTGACAGAGGCCTAGATAATGATGTTAATCTCAGGGGCCGACTGCTGTTTCCAAAGGGCTGTTAAGAGCCTAGTGAGTGGTTTTATTTATTTGCTTTTGGTTGAGTCTCACACTGTCCTAACCCCGTTATTTTAATAGCTGGTCTGCTGCAGCAGTCTCTGTCCCAAAGGAATCCCAGCGTTTTCTGTAGCACTGGACATTGTGATCTGCTGGTCCCCTTCAGGAACTGTTTTTCCTTTCTGCTCTGTGTGCAACTGTAGCCCCGGAGGTGTCTATGGACCACAGAGCTGGCTGGGTTGGCAGTACATAGGGACGGGAGTGGGGGTGCTGGCACATGAGGGGAGCACTGCAGGTGTGCAGAGAGGCCAGCAGCATGGTTCATCCTTGATCCCAGGTGTCCAGGACAGGGCTGTGGTCCTGGGCCTGTCTGTCCATGTCTCCTTGGCATAAGGGATTACACGGGGCAGTGTTCTCGGTGGCTGGGAGGGAGGTCATGGAGGGCACTGTGATCTGCTGCCAGCAGTTGAATGCACCTGGCATTCCTCCCCGGGGTGCTCGCTGTGTTCCCAGTGCTGTGCCTGACTGAGTTGTTCCCTTCAGCTTCCGTTGGTGTTTAACCCCTGGCAGTCCAGGCACTGCCTGCTCTAGCAGGCTGGGCACTGGGGATATTGGGGGTGAGTCTGGGAGAAAGCCCTGCAGTTAGCCCCTTTGCTGTCTATGGGGGCAATGAGTTGTGAGTCCATGTCCTGAGTGATCTGTGGCCCTAGCACCACCCTGCCCCTCAGAGATTGATGGGCATGGGGGAGCCCTTGGGACTTAGAGTCCCTTCTCCAGAGCCATGGGGCAGGGAGCACCAAGAGGAGGCCCAAAGTCTCTTCCCACCCTTTCAGCCAGGCCAGGAGGATGGGAGCAGTGCCTGAGGGGAGCTGAGCTCTAGCGCCAGGCTCCCACATAGCTCTGCCTCGGGGTGGGGGAGCTGGGACTTGAGGATGGGGAGGCTACAGGGCCGCCTCAGCGGGGTGACAGGGGCTGTTCATTCCTAAGGCTGCCTTTGTGTGAGGGAGGCACCGAATCCCCTGATTCCCAGAGACCTCCCTGACACTTTCTGCTTCAGCCCCTGGAGTGGACTGGAGCTGGCACCCCGCATGGTCCCCAGGGATTGGTAACAGCCTCTCGACGGTCCCCCTGCAGCGTTTCTTGGGGGTGGAGGAGGAGCAGCAGCAGGATGTTAGGAGAGACATTATTTGCGGAAAAGTCACAGAAGGGTCCTGGCTTCTGTGAATTTTCGTGTGTTGCCCATGACCCGTCCATGACTTTTACTAACAATAACCATGACAAGATCTTAGCCTTACTCATTGCCAGCCTGCTGAGCTATTGCTGGTCTCCCCATCTCCCTCAGCACGTCACGCCCCTTCCAACCTCCCCGAGCAACCTCCTGTCAGCTGGGCGCTACTGCCAGCTCTGCGCTAGCTGGATGCCGTGCAGGGAGGCCACATGGCAGGGGTTTGCTATGACCGAGCTGCTCTGAGCTGCCATGGTCTCTCTCTGCTGGAGTCTAGAAAGCCAGTCTGTCTCTTGAGAGCCACAGTGAAGCCTTTGTCCCAGCGGGCGCGGGGGAGGGAATGCAAAGGCTTTGGGTAAAGGGCGGGTGAGCGCAGATTGGTTCGTGGTGCACCGTGTGCGGCAGCAGCAGCGTTGTACCAGGCCACCACCGAAGCGGCTGTAGCAGTTGTGCTCCCTTGCTGAAAACAGACGGGCTGTACCAGCACAGTCACTCTGTGGCAGTGATCCTCCAACATTTCACCTTGCACCCCCACCATCCCTGCCTGTGGGGGTTTCGCTACAGTGGGGGGCAGTGGGCAGGGGTAAGAGGGTTAAGGCTGGGACCACAGCTGGGGGTGGGACTGGCAGGCAGGGCTGGGACCGGCAATAGAGCTGGGTGGAGTTCCCTCCTTGCCCCCATGGGGACTGGCCCAGGCCCCAACCCTACCCCCTGCATGTTTCTTGACACCCCCATAGGGTGGCGACCCTCATCGTTTGGGGATCTCTGCTGTATGGGAAGCTCCCATGTAAAGTTAAGGGTGAATTGGGGTATCTTTCCTCTGGGAACTGGCAGAAGCCCCACCGCTCCCAACCTCGGCTGGGTGTCCATCTCTACCAAGCACTAGGAATATGTGCAAGAGGGGACAAACCAGGGCTGTCCCCAGGGAATAGACTGGTTGGCCTAAAAGGTCCTTTCTATGTCTAGAATTATATCCTGCCCATTATGGTTTGAGACTGTACCATGGTGGGCAATATATAAAAACATGGCTGGTGGGAGAGGGCCAAGCAAGTAGCTGGCTGAGTTCCTGTGGAGATGATGATTTTAATACTGCTGAGGCTTAATTGAATGAGTTTATTGTATAATTAATGATCAGGTTCTTGTAGCCTGGGACAGGCGTCTTCATTACTCTAAACCTAAACGAATGCATAATGTGCTCCAGGGAACACTCGCTATCCCACTGCTCTTGTACATTTCAAAGGGAGAGAGGCAGTGGGAACCGGAGCCGGAGGGGACTGAAGGTTCCTCGCTGTGCCTCTCCCTGTGAAATGGGCAGGAGCCGCAGTACGTTACCATGGGAGGGGAGCAGCCTTCATACCAGTGCAAGCAGGACTTTTTCAATCCCACTCAAGCCATTTCCTTGCTTCCCTCTGCCTCCCCTGTCCCACGGAGACGGTGCTGGGGGGAGCCGGCTTGTAAGCTGGCTCCCCCCAGCACCGGCTCACGCTCCCCTCCCTTGCTGCCTTTCTCTGATAGAGGCAGCACGCAGGGGAAGCGGGTGGGTTGTCGTGTTGCTACTTAACTATCCAATCAGCATTTGATTATCGGGTAGTCGACTAGTCACTTGCATCCCTGATACCAAGGGGAAGTGATTGATTAGGGATGAAAGTGACCAGTCAAGTCACTACTCGACTACTTGTCCCCCCCCGCCCCCCTTGCTGCCCCTGTATCAGCAGGAGCAGGAGCTGGTACTGAGGGGAACCGGCTTAAAAGCCTTTGTGTGAGGGAGGCACTGAATTCCCTGACTCAGGGCAGGCGCAGGGAGGTATGTGCTGATTGCACCCAGCATTGCCTGTGAAGCCAGGCGCTCCCTTGGCATCCAGTCCACGCGCTGCTACGGTTCGATCGGTGTGCCCCGCCGCACTTAGCACAGCTCCC